TCTTATTGATTCTTCTCTTTCTAATTCAATTTTCTATATCACTTGCTTCCTCTAATGAGACTGACCAACAAGCTCTATTAGCTTTCCAAAATCTTATTACAAGTCCCACTCATTTTTTGGCCAACAATTGGACCAAAAATGCTTCCTTTTGCTCTTGGTTTGGTGTCACTTGCTCTCCAAAAAGGCAAAGGGTTGTGGCCTTGGCTCTTCCTAATTTGCAACTTCAAGGCACAATTTCCCCATCTTTGGCCAATTTTGTCCTTCCTCAGTGTTCTCAATCTCCAGAACAACAGCTTCCACGGTGGCATCCCTTATGGTATTGGCCACATGCCTCGCTTGCGAGTGATTGGCGTTAAAAACAATCAGCTTAACGGAAGTATACCAACAAGTCTATTTCAAAACCGGAGAGTTCAAGTAATTTCTTTGGCTTTCAATGAACTCAGTGGTGAAATGTGGAGAGGGCCATGGTATGTACCCGAACTCAGAGTCTTAAATCTCGGGAACAATAACCTCACCGGTATAGTCCCTCCTTCTGTTGGAAATGCCACAAAAATGATGAACTTCAGTTTGTCTGGGAATAGAGTCAGCGGCAACATTCCAAAGGAGGTCTGTAATCTGAGCCAGCTGGCATTTTTTTCCTTGTTCGATAATCAATTAACAGGTTCCATTCCCGCAACACTGTTTAACATCTCGTCACTACTTGTCGTAACTCTGGCAAAGAATAGCCTTTCTGGTCCTCTCTTGCTAGATGAAGGCAATATTGTGTCGAATCTGTACATTTTAAGGATGTCTCACAATCAAATTTCTGGTTGCATTCCTTCCAACATATGCCAACTCACACAGCTCAAAGTTTTGTCCATATCTTTCAACAATATAACCGGAGACATACCTAGAAATATTGGTTGTTTATCCAAACTCGAGAATTTTTATATGGGTGATAATCCAATAAAAGGGACTATTCCCACTTCATTGGGAAATATTTCCACTCTGCATAGTCTTTACTGTGGAAACAATCGCATAGTGGGGAAAATTCCTCCGGAATTAGGGAAGCTATCAAATTTGAGGGAATTAATCTTTACCCATAATTCTAATCTTATCGGTCAAATTCCAGATGCTATTTTCAACATATCTTCTTTGGAAGTGATTAGTTTCAGTCTCAATAGCCTCTCAGGGAGAATTCCAACCACTACAGGTCTTCATCTTCCGAACCTTAAAGTACTTGAGTTGGGAGTCAATCAGCTGGAAGGGGAAATTCCATTGTTCATAACAAATGCTTCCAAGCTTCAGACACTGGGGCTAGAATTTAACTCTCTCACGGAAGCTATTCCTACTAATTTGGGGAATCTTCATGAGCTGCGATCACTCTTACTACATCATAATCAACTTACCAATGTATCAAGAGAGCGTGAGTTGCTATTCTTCAATTCTTTGGCGGACTGTAGGATGTTGAAAGATCTAGAAGTGGGTAACAATCCGTTAAATGGCGTTCTGCCCAATTCAATTGGGAATCTCTCATCTACTATTGAAAATTTTTATATAGGAGATGCACACATCAATGGCCTCATCCCCAAAATTATAGGCAACATGACCGGTCTTACAGCCCTAAGCCTTAGAGGAAACAACTTGGCGGGAAGTATTCCTTCTGAGATTGGTAAGCTTAAACAACTCCAAGGGCTGTCTCTACCTAACAATAAATTGCAGGGACATATTCCAGAGGTGGTATGCCATTTATCGAATTTGTTTCTATTATATCTGTATGGTAATGAGCTCTCTGGATTAATTCCAGAATGCTTTGGAAATCTTAGCATGCTACAACATCTTTATTTGGATTCTAATAAATTTTCATCAAAATTTCCGTTGAGCCTTTGGAAGATGAGTGGTCTTCTCTATCTAGACGTGTCACATAATTCAATAGAAGGAGAAGTTCCCCAGGATATTGGAGGACTGAAAGCCATTGTAGAACTAGATCTTTCCAGTAACCACTTTTCAGGAATGATATCAACCAGATTCGGGGAACTCCAAAATCTGCAGTATCTTGACCTATCGAACAATTCATTTTTTGGCC